GGCATCCCTTCCATTGTATAACTTGCACCAGCCAGCTTAGTGTTGTTAGCAGGCTTGCTGAGGGTGCACTCAATCCCACTGTCTATCGTAAATATGCTGAAGAGCATCGGTCCCAAGATAGACACCGTTGTCACCAGCTTCCACCTGCCCATAGGTCCACTGACCACAGATCTCTGGATATGGCCATCCAGACAGTTTCTTCTCCATCAGGTAGTTGTATAAGTCAAGGTAGATGTTACTTTCCCTTTGTCTACCAATGCTGTTGCTCTATTGTAGAAACCCGCCAGATTGGTCAGGCACAGTCTGCCCTCGGTGAAGCCATACTGGCTGTCTTGAATCACATCTCTGCTTTCCAGATTCACAGCCTCCACAAGAATCCATGCTCTTCCCAGTAATTGTCATTACAAGTACTGGGAGCTCCTGCCTCGTGGCCAAGTATCCTTTTAATATATGTTATACTGAAAAGAACAATTCATGTTATAATCCACCACAGTAAATTGCACTAATTTGGCAAAGGTAAAATGATAGGAGAGGATTTTGAGTGGTGAGTCACTGGCACAGGCTGTCTGGAGCTGTGGGTACCCCATACCTAGAGGTGTTGAAGAACAGGTTGGATGAGCCCTGGGAAGCCTGACCTTGTGGGTGGCAACCCTGCATGGCAGGGAGTGTTGGAACTGAATATCTTCAACATCCATTCCAACTCAAGATATTTTATGATTCTAAGATTACACAGTTCTTGTCAGGCTAGTAATTTCCTGATCATCCTATCTCCCTTAATCTCTTTAAAGAGAAGAAATTGGTTTCATCGTATGGCAGGAAAATGCTTATATGAACCTGGCAGGTGTACAAGGGCTGCACCAGAAGTAATGCCTTCATTATGTGTGTCGTTGTACTCCTTGTGTCTGTTGTAGTTTCCATGGAAATAAATAGAAGGCATTACTTTCAGAGCAACCTACATACATCCTGTTTTGGTGAACACTTGCTTTATATTGCAAACTTTTGGGGCAGTGGAAGTCTATTCTGTGGAAGAGCTACACACATGGTATTTTTTTTGCATTTCATCTTTGTTTAGGATTTAGTAATAGAAATTCCCCTTACAGCATCTAAGAAAGGCATAGTGTAGAATGGATGTAATTTTTGATGTGGTTCCTAAGCTAAGGTTTTTACTTCTGAAACATTCTTATATTCTTTCTGGCTAGTGTGCTTCACTATATTGGCTTGTTTTTGAAAGTAAATTAGTTTCCACTATTATTTCTTATAGATTTAAAAATTTGTAAATTATCTATAATACAGTTGTGGAATATTTCTTGGTAACTATGACCAGTACTTCTTACTATTTAATAATTAGAGTGCAGTTGCTTCTTAGGTAATGTTTTTCTGCAAAACCAAGTGTCTTCCAAAACAAAAGGCATCCCATGTACTTTATTGCAAAGAATCCTTGAAGTGGTTACCTCCTTTTACAACAGCATGCTTCCTGAATTTCTAGGAATCCTGGAATGTATTGCTATTGATAGGTCTGCTTTGAGATTTGCCTGAGGCTGTAATTATTCTTTTGAGCTTACTGTTGCCTTTAAGTATATTACAAATTCTTGTCTGTGTGCCCTAAAGCATTGGTAAGTCTGACCCTGTCTGATAGCTTAGCTGTTGCAAGTTTCAATGCCAAGACTCATCCTTTTTTGTTGTCTTTTATTATTTATTTACAAAAAAAACCCATTATTTTTTATGAGTAAATGTTTATTACAATTTTTTAAAAGCCACCACAGTTGTGGTGGTTTTTTTTTTTTGTTTACCTGTTTCTGTTTGAGGATCGTAGGGGGTTCTTTGACTTTTTATTTTCTTTTTCATTGTTTAGTTGTTTGCCTGCCTCGCTTTTTGATGCCAGAAGCTGACAGTTCAGTGAGTCCTGGTAGCCACAATGGTAGTTTAAGGCCCGTTGTTTCAGGCACACTGTATATCTGAAGCAAAGCCTTTTTCATTTCTCTTCCAAATAACTGACTGCTTTCTTGAGAACTTCATGAGTACTTCCAAGAACAGAGTTGATGCATACTGTCCCGTGTGAAAGAAGTGACTGTGGATTACATAAATTGATGTGCCTAGCCTGCCAAGGAGTGAATACCTTCCCTCATTCCTGCTGTCATATGTCTACAGAGATTTTATTGGCTGGCAGCTGGAGAGGCTGGGTCTTGGCTCATTTATGCCCCAGAAACATGCTGTGTCTGCATTAAGATTTCTATAAAAATACATTACAAAACATTTTGGAGAGAAAGTTAAATATACTTAGTATTTGGGTATGCAGAAACTACCATGTTAAGTCACTGTATGAATTCTTCGAATTCAAATGAGTTTGTAGCTTAGAGATGCATCAAAAAGCAAACAAAAAGCAACCACCTTCCTTCTGAAATGGTGTACCCAGTTTACATCTTTTTGAACATATGTAGAATCGAAGAAGTATTCAACTAGAATGCACTTTATTTTCTTTCCTCTATTTATAGGAAGTTTTATTACAGGGAACTATTTAAAAAGATAATTCCCCTCAATATAAAATGTTAAAAAATTGGTTACACCCTAAGATGGCAAATGTTAAGCATGTCTTTGTCAGTGCATGGAGACTTACAAAGTGCAGCTATCAAGCACAGATTTGGCAGAGTTCCTGTGACTCACCACTCACTAACTTAGGAGTTTCGTCCTAACGTGTTATCTAAATATTCCTTCTTAATGGTTTAAAACCATGACCACTTGTCCTTTCACTACTCGCCCTAGCAGTAAGGCTCATCCCCATCTTTCTTCAGTTTTTCCTTTAGGTATTGAAACACTACAGTCATGTCTCCACTGGAGCTTTCTCTTCTCAAGGCTAAACGACTCCAACTCTTTCAGTACCTTTTAGCAGCAGGAGTTTCCAGTTCGTGTTTTTATGGGCCTCCTTTAATAGGAGGACTTTCTGTTACGGTGAGGACCCCTGGGTGGAATACTGCAGATGGAGCCTCACAAGAGGGAATTACCTCCTCTGACCATTGGCCACACTTTTAAATGCAGCAGAGGATATGGTTGTCCTTCCAGGCTTCAAGCATTCACTACCTGCTCATTTCTAGCTTCTCAAACACCTTTCCTTCTGTTGTATCAAATGGACCACTGAGCTTGATCTCATCCACAAACTCACTGAGGGTGCACTCAATCCTACTGTGTGTGTCACTGATAAAGATATTGAACAGCAGCAGTCCCAAGGCAGTTCCTTCAGGGATACTGCTTATCACCAACCTCCACCTGGACTCCTAGAGCCATTGACCAAACTCAGCCAATATGCTAATCCTACGGTCAGTGTCATTGTCTTGTGGGGGACCATACAACAGGCTTTGCACAAGTGAAGGTAAATGGCATCAGTTATCTCGCCTTGTCCTCCAATGCTGTCACTGTATTAGAAGACCACAAGTTTGGCCCAGTTTGCCCTTTTTGATGTTATCTTGCCTATTACCAAACAACATATTTTCCCTTTTCTCTCTGTGCAATTTCAAATAACTACCACATGGCAGTTGCCCTCCTACTTTCAGCAGAAGCATTGCTTTTTTTCCTTCAGTGTGACAAGAGGAGGGACCTTTAATTCAAGGGTCCTGTTCCTAGAAATTATTTCAACAGATTAGTGCTTCAGTAGAATTGCTACTAAGCATAATATGAAGCTTAAATGCTTACTTATACAAGTAACCTAGCTACAAATGTAATAAGGTGTGTGCAAAATATGTCATTTTTTCAAACAAGTAATGACTTCTTGCCTTTGTGGTCTCAGATTTTCCATCATAGTGTCACGTGAAATGTTCCTCAATGAGCTTTGAAGATTTTTTTTGTTGCTTTGTTTTGTGGTTGAACTTGATTTTGGTTTCTAATGCTAATATTCCCTGGGAGAACTGGTTGGATGATAACTCAGATATTTGGGCAAGATGCAGTCATTTGCATGTTGTTTCTAAGAAATTATAAGCCAATGTAGAAATTTGAGGTCAAGAACTTACTTGAGAAAGAGGTGCCAGCTTCTTACCCACATTACATGAACTTAAGATAAATTTGACTTTTTGTCAGGAGCAACAATGTTTTTGTTTAAATATTTCATATTTTGTATATTTAAATATGAAATCCTAATGTATTTTAATAGATAATATTTGAGAGTTAATTTAGCAATACTATAAGTAGTTGTTGAATCTATCTCTCTGAAATGTGCTTCATTGTGAAGACTCTGTTTTGTCTTAAGGTTTCCCATGATGGAATTTTAAACCAAAAGATTCCAAGGATTTTTCTGTTAGTACCACCTTTTTACTAACAATTGTAATTATTTTCCTCTTACTTTTGGGAGAGAAGTAAGACCAGAACATCCCTGTCAGGTTTTCTTTAATGTTAAAATACATTCTGGGAGGTAGAGGGAACTATGTAGAGTAGGAAGTTGAAATTGAGTGTAGCGCATTGAATATCTGCATAGAGATTTTGAAGATCTATTTGAATATCTCTTTATGTGTTTATATTTAACAAAAATCTGATACATAGAAAGATTTGCATATCTTGTTGGGTTTTTTTTCATAATAACAAATAGTGTTTAGTTGAGAATCTTTCCTTAGATCTTTTAAAACGTTTCACAATGAAAATAAGATGCACTAATGGAAAAGTACCCTTTTACCGGGACAAAAACAAACAAACTGAAGGCAAAAGATGAGTCTTTACAAATCTGTAGCTCAGTCTGGCTCTAAGGATAATATTAAAATATGGCTAGTTAGGAATGTCTTGTCTCCTGTTTAGGCAGTTTTAGACTGTTGATTGTTCTTCCTCAGATGTTTGTGAAAGCAGCTTGATTTTAAATGAAATCTGAATTTGTTTCAACTGGAATTTGGGTAGCAGAAGAATGCATTCCGTTTTCAAGAATGGCTTTTGTTGATTCTGAAATGTAACTTAATGTAACAGATGTGTTTTATATGGAAGTTCATCAAGAGGGAGGAGCTTCATACTGTCTTCCTTCTTTCTGACAGGTTGTGAAGATGAGAAAAGATGTGAAGAAAGCCAGAGTCCTGACCATTCGCAGACTGACCAGACACATCGGGAAACTGAAGTTGAAAAAGTCAGTTTTAAACATTGTTGTTCTTGTTTGTGTTTTAATAAATGAGACAGTAACTGGATTGTCTTCTAAATAACAGGGGCAAGAGGTAAACATGCATTACATTGAAAACTTAAGGCACACTGATACATTTATTCTATTTGTATTTTTACTTTATTTTAGATAGATCCAAAATACTAACTGTAAAGTAGTTTCATGAAGTAGAACAGAGCTAACATGTTTTAAAAGGATTTAATATTTGGAAGTTAACCAACTCAAAGGACCTTTTGCAGCACTTCCAAAGCCATCAGACTTGATCTTTTATGCTCTTCTGCTCTTGATCACAAATTGTCCATTATTTTCTCACTGCAGTTCTCCGCAAATTTGTATAACAAAAAATATTATTTAGTGTATATATTTATACAAATTATGCTTTTTCAATAATTAGGATTAATATTCTTAAAGCAACATTTTCAAGATTGTACTTCCAAAGACAACAGGCCCAAAGTGGCTTCTATTATCTCACTGGAGATAAAAAAAAAAAAAAAAAAAAAAAAAAGATGAGTCTGTTACAGTGTTTGAAGTGTACATTGAATGTACTATTCTTTCATAAACTTAGCAAATTATATGGGCCTATTAAACATTCATATTTAAATGTTGCAGATCTTAGATGCAGTTGTATTTGAAATAGCAGTTTCTCCTATGTGTTAGTGATAAGAATTGTCATTCCCTTCTAATCAAGTAGTGCTTGTCTTTTTGATTATTTTGCTAAATCTTCAGTGTTGTTTTTTTTCTGTTCATAACAGGAGAAACACTGTACTACTGAACCACTCTTCACCACAGTGTTCATCACATCAAGGGGATGTGATTGTGCTCATTCTTATGATTGCTTGATAGATACTTAGTATGACCATTCTCTAATAAGAAAGTGAACAAAACTCACGGTTTTTTTTTAATAAGGACTTCATTTACAGGGGTTCAGAGGACTTGAAGCTAAAGAACCAAAAACGAGCTGAAAGATTAATAGAAGAAATCCACGCTATGAAGGTATTACCATATTTGTGTATTTACATATTAAATAGAGTTAAGCTTAGCAATAAAAAGCTTTGGTTTTTAGGACTGCATTACTGAATCCTCCCTGAAATATCTTCTAGGTCAGCTTTGCTGTTACCGTAACACATCTGGAAAATCAAGAGTGTTTCCATATTTCCATCTTTGCTTGCTGCATTTGTCAAGGTGCTAAACAGTTTGAGTCTTAAACTTGCCAAACTAAACTTGAATTTATCTGGTCTGAATGGCGCTTGAAGTTTGCACTTTGACAGTTAAGTGCAGGAATTAATTTCTTTGTGCCAATTAAGAGGGTAAGAAATGCTTTGTATAACTGATTATGGTATTGTCAATATCAGTTCTCAGCTTTAAATGACATGCTACTGGAATATTTCTTTCAGCTTTAAAGTTCTGTTTTAGTTTTTGAAACTTTACCTTCAGGAGCCAGGTAGCATGGGATTCAGTTTTTTCTCTTCTGTCAGTTGATACAGGTTTTGTATTTTTTGCATTGTGATGTATGAGCAAATGCTTCAGAGATTTTATAACTTCCTAGTGTTCTCTACTTCTTGTATCTTGATTTTAGTAGACAATGTTACAACGGTGTGTTTTGGAATGGGTGCAGACTCCAGATTTCAGCACAAGCATTCTCTATTGTATGAGAGAACTACTTTGACGTTAAATGAGTGTTTTTTTCCTCAATAACTACAGTGGTTGAGTGACCTTTATCTGTTTGTTTATTTATCTACCAATTAAGCATAGTCTTCAAGAGAAGCTGCTTAATAGAAAGGCTTTGTTAATCCATTTTCATGACATGCTTTTTGCCAGATTCATCAGATGGCATCTCATGGATTTTTTTTTTAGCATATTATTTGTAAAACAACTGAGCTTCTACAGTTGAGTAAAGGGGAAAAGGAAACGTTCATCAGATAATTGCAGGGATTGGAAGGAACCTCAAGAGACCTTTGAGTCCAACCACCCTGCTAAAGTAGGTTCTCCACAATAGGACACTGTCGCTGTTGCTCTGTAAAACAGCAGTCAAACAACATAAGTGTTGTCCACATGGTGCTTTTACTTTCATGACTGGCTCGCACAGACATCCTAATGCCTGCTAGCACTTAAGTCTGTATTGGTCACATTAGTTCAAGTAGTTTTATAAGTTGGTAGAAGGTTTCTTTCAGTCTACTTTTTTCTCTGTGCTCCCTGCAGTTAACAACAGTGGTTGGACTTGGTTTACCCCGCCTAATTCTAGGTAACTTACAGTGTCAGTTAAAACACCTCCATGTCTTCTAGTTTGTGTATACACTGGGTGTAGAAATGTCTCTGGAAAGAAACAGACATGGAATGCCCTTAGCAGCCTTCCTGGGCTACCTGTTTCTGTGAAGATGGAATCTAGAATAACGAGGCCCCTAAACTAAGGTATCTGGAGACAAGTGACTGATTCTGGTGTTCATGCTGTTACATACTTCTTTGAAAAAAAAAAACAAAAAACAAAAACAACCCTCTAATAATGAGGCTGTCATTTCGCCAAGCAGAGAATGAGCTGTGTGGAATTAAAGGAGCACCTCGGTTGTCAGTAGTGACAACTGCTGACACTGATGCTACTTGAGTTTTATAATTGCAGGACCTGTAAGTGTTGACTGTAAGTCTGATTGTTGAGAGAGGACAGATTTGTAATTTGGAGAGTGGTAAATAAAGTTTGCTTTGAAATTGTTTGAATAGGAGGAGTGAGCAGCAGAGGAGGAGGAGGAAAAACTCCAACTTCCTGGGCAAATAGCTATTAAATCAGTAGTCCTTTTTGTTTAAAGAAAAAAAAAAAAGTGCACCAATATTATATTCATAAAATTTTAATAGTAAAAATTGCTCTTCCTGGTTGTTTTTTTTAGGTTTTTTTTTTTTTTATCTTTTAAAATGAACAAATAGATGCTTTCTGACTATACAGTATATTTGTTTCTTAAATAAAAGTGCCTGTTCTTTTTCTTATGAATCACAGTTCTGAAAGGCACTATTTGTTCACATATTTTTTTAGCATTGTTGGGTTTTAGACTAAGAGACCTTTACAGACTTGGCATAGAAATATTCCTGATTCATCATGGAGGAGAAACAAGACAGCTTTCACATAAATCATTCAAATTTCCTGACACAGCAGAGTTAATACTGGTAAAATGTCACACTCAGAAACCTTTTCTTAAGTTAGTGATCAATGTTATTGAGTTATTGAGCAGTGATTTCATAAAGAACTCTTCACATAACATGATAATGTATTTTCATTTAGTTTATTTGATAGAGCAAGTTCTCAGCTACAAAATGCTGTATTTCAACATAGTCACCAACATTAGCTATGCTGTCACCAGCTCTGAAGAGGAGCCTGCATGCTTGGCTGTCAACGGTTTACGGGCTGGTTCGGCCCGGTTCCGTGACGAGCGTGGCGGAGGGATCCGCAGATCCACGCCTCTGGAAAAAAAGGAAACAGGGGACCCCAAAATAATTAAAACAGCGGCAACAATCTGAGGAGAAACAAACTAATTTACTAAGTATATTATCGGAATGCAAGATAACACACTATAATACAATATAATCAGAATTGAAGCTAATAAATCAAATATAATGAGAGAGAATGTCTGAAAGGTGGATAGGCCTCACCACAAGGCTGAGGTGAGATGCGCAGTGCAGCTGAGCAGCAGGGAGACGGGAGCAGCGCCCACGACGAAGGGCAGGCGAGAAAGAGAAATCAGGTGGCCTTGCAGGAGTTAAACCTCCTCTCCCTGACCGCAAGGTCCCCTGGGGAATGTAGTTCTTCTTCTCTTCAGGGCAGGTACCCAGGACTTGAGCATTAACAGTTAAAGTCCCAGTGCCCCACATGATGTTATGATGTGGAATACCGAAAGCCAAAAATCACAAAATCATGACATTGGCTCATAAAAATTTGTACCAGTGGAGCTGACCCATCATTTCACAGCATCTAGCAATGACAGCATCATTGCTAGAAGAATGTTGTCCATGCAGTCCGTTTTTCATTGGCCTAAACAGATGGAATTCAGAAGGCACCAAATACAGACTACATAGTGGGCATGGAAAGCCAGTCCAGATTGGTAATGTACTCCATGGTCGTCAAACTGATATGAGACCTGGTATTTTCATTTTGCAGGAGAAATTAAGTCTTCCCCTGCCTGATTCTGGAAGCTTGAGCCTTCAGCTTAATCAGCATCAAGACGTATTAATCTGTGTTGATGGTTTGTCCAGGCTGCAGGAAACATAAGAATCACCCCTTTCCTATCACAAAGCGCAGTGCACATCCACTTTATTCTCTGAGGTCTGCATCTTGAACTTTAATGGTAAATTCATGTCACCGCTCCATAGACTGCTGTTTTGACTCTGGCTTGTGATGGCACCACATCTCATACAAGGTAATAATGTGATAATAATATGTCACTTTCAGCCTTATGTTAGTTCAGTAGATCCTTACAGACTTGCAAATAGTGTTCTTTCTGAGCACACTATTTGGTGAAAACTTTGTGATATTTTAGCATTGCCACCATCATTTCCAATGAATTGTGACCAATCTTTAGCTCCTTATACAGATCCTTAGTTGTAATCTGCCAGTTTGTGCCGACGCTCTTCATTCTGTAGTATGACAAAAAGAATGACCATGTGGAACGTGGCTTGTCTTTCACATCACTGTCAGCACTGTTGAAATGCACCACCCACCACCTCACTGAGTCAGCACCCACTGTTTGGTCTCCATAAACATTCAGCAAGTGTTTACGAATATCAGTTGGTGCAGTTTTTCCACAAGGAGGAGTTCGTTTCCACATCTTTGCTTCATCTGTTCTTCTGTGCCAGATGCCATTTTGTCCCATTGCTCCTGTGCTGCCATCTGTCACATGGCAACAACATGTAATTAAATATTGGTGGGAAGGTTCAACCTTTGCTGCCATACCACCAACATCCACCTCTTACGCTGGGCGCCAGTGTCATAAAAAAGGAGGTGTCAGTTCTGTCCCATTTTTAATCTTTATAGTGCTTCATGTTTTCACTTGTTCATTGCTTCCAATCATGTTGATGCCAAAATGAGTAATCTCACGTTTAATAGAACTGCTAGTCTACTAATATCTGTTCTTTCCCCCTTCTTAGATATTTTAACTAAGCAAACTTAACAACCTTTATATTGGAAAGCTGGTGGTTTTTTGTTGTTTTTCCTAGATTGCAAGTGTAAAATAATATGTTGAGTTTTTAAAAAGAAAATTGAGAGAAGAATGTGGGGAAGAAGCTTATACTATACAATTTCAAGCTGGGATGTAAAAGCAACTGACAGCCATTCCTACTTTTGTATTTTATTATGATAACAGAAATAATGATTTTTTAACATCAGATACTGCTTTAGGTTTAGCTTCTTAAATATAAAGACAGTAAATATAACAAACACTAGCTTCATTTTAAGGCTCCATCATTGACAAAATACTGAAATAGAAGCAGTTACCATGTGCTCCTTTTCTTGTTCACATTAGATTCTTACTTACAAAGTGAAAACAGATTACAAAGGCAGCATTTTGTTGGATTTGAGACAATTTGAGGAAAATATTAAAGGAGGTTTTAAATAAAGGCTGTCAACTATCTTAAAAATATGGCTTGCAGATGAAGCTTTTTCCTATTGAGTCTTGCATAAGAATTTTACTACTTTGTTGTTGAGATATTTTTTTTTTTTTTGTAAGGATGCAAAATAAGCTATTTTCACTTCTTTAGCAATATGGCTCACAGATGAGACTCCATCTCCTTTCTGAGTCCTACATAAGTATTTTTATTGCTTGCTTTAATAAAGATGCAACCTTTGCAGTAGTACCAAAAACAAATTAATGAAACCCATATGCCTTAATTTATTTGAAAATTGAGCAGTGACAGCAAACCAAAACACTTCTTGTTACTATTATTCAAAATAACCGGAGAAGTGTCAGCATGTTCTTGTGCTCATTTTGAAAACATGTATCTATATTCCAAACATACAC